GAAATATTTTGAAAAATAATTTTTTAATGTTTTTTTTTTAAATTTAACTTATTTATTATACATGTAAAACGTATAAAAGTAGCCTTTTACTCTTCAACAAATCACACTGACTTGAGATGAACTGTCCTAGATGGCAAGAAATTTATAATTATCAGCTTAGTATATGGATTTAGGAAAATCAAAATCTTTGAAGCTGGCTGAACGTTAGAAGATATTACTGGGTTTAGGATCAAAAGAGAAAACAGCTAATCTGGTTAATAAGCAACTTTATTATTTAGTGACTTTTCTTTAGTACAACAAAAATATAGTTTTAATAGTTTCATTTTGTCAATATACAAATATGAAACAGCAATATTTAGTCACACAACAAATATGAAGTAATTTATCAATTTCATAGTGTGTAAAATCTAAAGAATTGAAATATAAAACAAATACACTTGTAAATACTTAAATCATGTCAGACTGAAATATCAACATTTGTTTGAAAACTTGCATGATTTGTCAACTGACAGATGTTAAACATGAATTATAATTTTTCATACTTTTTACATGAGTTGCTTCTGTCACTGACAACATTTTTTTTATATAACATTCATAAACTGGATTTACTAAGACATTAAAGAACAGTTTTAATGTTCTGTTGAGGCTTAAGAGATTTGCAGTGTCTTTAGAGAACACTAAAATATTCATTTACTATACTCTCTAAGAACCAAATTTTTCATTGGAAAAAACAAATATTATTAAAGAAAGAAAATATTGCGAGTGATCAAATTATTAGAATAATAATATATAATTCTCCTTCTTGACTATTCAGAAAAAAATCTTATTTCATTTTACTATATAATTACAATGATCAGCAAATATTAATTTATTCTTGCTACGTGGATTGTCTACACTCTTGTTTATATTTTATATACTGTTAATAGCTTAGATTATAGTTCCATATTAAAAAAATATCTTATAGAAAAAATTAGCCTCAAATAACTATATAATATCTGAAATATTTTCGGTTGAAACATTAAACATTCATACCCAAGATATATTACTTGAAGGCACTGAAATATTTGTAGTAAGTTGTTTACCTATAATTCCACATATTATGCTAATAGCAGATGATGAGAATGCACTATGTGTATATAAACATGTGTAATAATTTTACATTCGTATCTATTTATTATCACATTGATCATTTTGAAATAATATTCTGTAATAAGGCATTATCAAATGAAGCAGATTCAACATTTTTCTTGGTACATTTCTTATTTACTGCATTCCATTGGTTTGGTTATTTAATATACAATATCTCTAAATGCAACAAAAATAAAGTTCTTAATGGATACCATATATAAAGTAATTATAAAATGTTAGAAATAAAGTTGATAGAAACTAAATTTTCTTCTAGTTTCATAGATTTACCTGAGCCACACAAAAGGATGTTTTATACTGTCACCTAAAACTTTAAAAGTGATGAAATCTTTATTTAAAACTTGAGCATTATGTATAAAAAAAATTAAAGATTCAAAATGAATATACACACAATTAAAATTCTTTCATCTAAATATAAAACACTCATTCTGTTAATAAATATTCTTTAAAATAAACTTTATGTTAGATAACAGCATCATAGTACAACAGCAAGTTTACAGTCTGGTATCAACTATTAGAATTATAATTTAACAATAATAATTCTAACTGAGAATTACTGTTTTACATATGATACACAAACAAAATGTGATTTCAAAATAATTTATAGTCCTAACTTCATTAACAGCTTTATGAGACCGATCCTAAAACAATACTATTAATTCCCATTAAAACCTAAATAATGTAATAATAATGTACTAGCTAAACTGACATTCCTCCTAAGATGATATATGATGATTAACAGCTGTTAATTTTTAAAACAGACCCTCTATTTTTACACACAGTAATAAGACTACAAATATATCTAAGCTGCACAAGTTATTGTTTAAATCTTCTAAAGTAGACAAACAATTTTTTGTCTCTGCAGGTGAATTGTTTAGCTGGAGTTCTTGTATTTTGTAAACAAGTTGTAAAGAACTCGCAGGGTAGATTTCAAGTCCAAGTTCACAATATCTGGAAGAAGACAATGTTTTAAAAATTAGTTTAACACTAAAAATTAAATAAAGATACTAAAGATTGCATATAAATATGTAAAATGAATTTTTGGCTATTTTTTAAACACTAGAAAATACTTATATATCAACTCATTATTACTTCTATAAAAGATTAAAAAATCTCTGTTCAATACATGGAAAACTGTTTTATTCTAATACGTTATGCATTTTCCAATTTTATATCACAAACATTTTGTACTTTTCAGAATATGTTTGTTCAGCAAAAACAGTTTCCAGTTACTGCTATCTCTAGTTTGGAATAAACACACTAATTTTCTCTTATGGTTAATTGATCCCAGTTCCAGAGATTTCTAGCATGGAATAAAACAGGATGAGTTTGTTCAGTGATTAACAGATTCCAGTTACTGAGATCTTTAGTTTGGAATAAAACATATGAATTGGGCAGGTATCTCTTGTGTCAATTTGATTCATTTTCAGTGCTTGAAAAGTATAAGGTAAACTAACAGTCATAGCCAGCTACTACTACATCCTAAATTATTACTCTTAAAGAACAGCCAGCATGTAAATATAATTCTGAACTGTATAATATATTTATTTTTACATTTCTCCCCAATGAGTTAAGATCTTCTTTCAATGAATCTCTATTTAGTAAATAAAATATAAAATATTAACTTTAAGTAAATTCATTAACATTACCAAAAGCTCAACAATGAACTACCTGAAAGCTTTGTAATAAAACCTAACCTTCTAAAACTCTTGACTGAGTGTAGTAATACAAGGAAATAAACAATTGTATAAAATAAAAATGGAATCAAAGGAATACAGTGCTAAGGTATGCAAATAAACAAAAGGTTGATATAATTTCTATTCAATTTTTGCTTATTCTACAACTACAATAGTAGTTAAATTCTACGGATGATGAGCATGAAGGATATTTCAATTACATTTAAAGTACTACATATGTGGTTAGAAATACTAAACACTACATCAAAACTATAGTTACCTTTTGTTGCTATACTACATCCTACTTTTGGACCAAATACATGTTAAAAGAGTTCAACATATTTGAGGCTTATAACTGAGATTTTTGCACAAGTAATGCTTTCTTGTTTTAAACTATGAAAAATAATTTCCGAGATAGAATGCTAAGAAATAGTTCTGTAAAACTAGAGCCTCTAGTATGCTTCAACACTTTCTATTTCTCATTTAGTTGTGTTAAATACATTAGTTCCCTCACAAAATATTAATATTTTTTAAAATAAAATTTAAATTTCTCCCCCTTGAAAAAATAGTTTTAAATAATGTATTAATGGATATTGAAATTAATTTCTGAAAAGTTGCTTTCATAGATGTGAGGTGTTTTCACTTATGGATAAAACAGTCAGAAGATGACAAATTTTCTCACAACTTCTAGTTTTTTAAGTAAGCCATTTCATTTCTGGTCTTGAATATGGTTTAGGATGGTTTTTATTTGCAAGTAAAATTTCAAATTAAAAATTTTAAAGCTTTCATCCCCTAATTTTGTTCCAATGTCCAAAAAACATTAAATGTCATACTTCATCCAATTTTTACCATATTTAAAGATTGCTCACTGTGGTTGAAATTCTAGACTGCAGTGGCCTGGTACCATATGTACTATGTGATATAAAAACATATTTGTTATGTATTACAATTGATTTATTTAAAGTATATTATTTTATTGTGGTCCAAAATTATCTTTCCAATTTTAAAATGGATTAATTGAATAACTAGGAAAATACAACCATGCAGTTTTCAACATCTTGTAGCCCAACTAAAATAGTTTACATTGTCAGTTGTTGTTTTTCTTCACTCCAGTGAGTAGCGTTACTCCGTAAAATGGCAACCGTACTAAAAAAAGGCTCAATGTGTTGTTTGGCTTGCAGAGACCAAGTCAGTGACTGTGGTGCAGCATAATTACAGATGCTAATACAGGAAAGAAGTATGGGGGTATGTTAAGGATATTGTGTATCACACACCTATAGCAAACATCATGGAGGTAAAGACCAGGATAATAGATGCCATCACCATTGTAGATATGTTGCAGCAAACATGGACTGAAATCAAATATCGATTAGACATGTTGAGAGCCACTAATGGTACACACATAGAAGTCTGTCTACTGGCATATCAATAAAAACTGTTTGAGTTTGGTTACAAGATGTTGAAAACTGTATGGATGTATTTCCTTAGTTAGTTAATTATTACATTTTAAAATAGAAAAGATAATTTTGGACCACCCTGTACAACAGTATAATTACATAATTACACGACTTTGGTGTGGTTAGTCTCTTTCACATTGTTACTGTTTTATTGTTTTCTTTTTGCTGTTAGGAAAAAGTCTTTTTTTGATCCTGCACAACTTGAAGGGGGAATTGTGTCTGTCCTTCTTTCTTTGTTATGATGGCATTATATTGCTCAATAAGGCCACACCCATTTCAGCATTGTCATTTACTACATTCAAGTATTGAACTGTCTGTAGTACCTCCCTGTAGGCCCCTCTGAGCTCCTATGACTCAGGGTCATAAATACAGATGAAAGTTTGAAGCACTTGAAGAAGTTTGTTGTGTTCTTTGTGAGGAAATCTTCAATTCACGTATCCTCAGACATCCTGATATTCAGCTGAATGTGCTTTGGAGGTTCATTCATACCTTCCTTCTCATTTAGTGCCTTTACCATTCCTTGTTTTGCCTCTGTGGATACAGCTGAATCAAAGAATGCCAAAGCAATGAGTTCCTTATTGAGATACTAATTTTTGACTGGCAAATTTTGAAAGAACAGAATTAACATTTTTATATGTAACAAGACATTGTAGGAAGTTAAGATCATTGAAAGAGCAGAAATGGCATCAGGAGCAGTAAACCCTACCCTAATACAGACTCGACTCAAACAATAAAAGATGTAGATGTCACAAAATCCTCTTTACTCACAACCAGGAAGCTTAAACTGTCTCATAGACATCCAGATCTTGAGGGCATATAATGTACATGATGCAGTGCTCTAGGTGCTATAACTCACACTCCATAAGGAGGGATGCCACCAAGAAAGGTTATGGCTAGTTCAAGAAGCTCTTGATAATCATCTCTAGGTTGGCTGACACTGACCTTAACTTCTTTTTATGGCTTCTGCCACTTCATCATGGTCAGCTGCAGTTTCATAACTGGACTGGTCCATGCATTCCCAAGATTGCTGAAATTAGTTGAATATTGCAATATCTGGACCAGAGAAAAGCCCCATACAGTCTTTGAAAACACATGCCAGGACAAGTTTTAAGATATAATGCTGGTATGCCAAATACAGAAGATTCTATTTTTAATCCATGTTCTAACAGCACACATCCTCCTTTTCTGTGACTAGTGTTGCTCGTTGTTGTGTCAAAGCAAACTACCTTTACATAATCAATAACTTCCCACTCTTCTAGCAAATGTGCCACAGATGAAGCTTGAGCCTCTCCAGTGCTAGAAATCAACTTTGGAACACCTCAGAGTTAGTTTACTCCTGCTCCAGATATGATCACTGGCAAACAATTCACTTGCTCTTTCCCAGAAATAAATGTAAAAGCATGGAATATTTATGTGTGGAATGTTCTTCAATATTCTAAATAATGTGGAATACTCTGGAACATTCAAGAATATTCCAAGATAATTTAAAACATTCAGAATATGGAAATATAATATGCAACACAAGGTATAATTCTAACTACCATGAGCAACTGCTAAATTTTATTCAATATGGATAAAATTAGGTGTGAATTACTTATTTATATACTGGAACAAAATGAGGGAGTGAGAATGTTGTAAATCAAAACTACAAAAATAAAGACCATTCTAGTTTAGTGTTTCAGAAATGGAAATGTTTTAGTTGAAGTTTTAATAGTTATTTATATAAGTTGAACTGAATGACTTATTTTGTTACTTAAAAAACATGAAAGCAATAGTTGCAAAAAATATTAATTTATAACACTTAATTTCTTTGTCTTACACTATAAACAAAGAAATTCTTATGGTAGGTTACAAAAACGTTTTCTCTTTGATCAATAACTATTGGCTAATGCACAAGAAAACCTATTAGAGAATGACTTTAATGGAGGTTTACTTCCAATAAATATATTTTCCTATATCAAAGGTAAAAGTACTTATGTTTCTAGGACTTCCTATGCTTTCATGAACATTTTCAAACTGTTATAGTATTTTTAGCCACGGCACAGCTGCTCATAGAAAGGCTCCAAGTTTTTTTTCAAGTATAAACCTTTAGCTCAATAGCTTCAGTTCTTGACAGATTTGAGATCTAATTACAGCCATAGCTATTGAGGATTCCCTCTTGTTTTTGGCATATATTACATAATTATTTTTCAAATAATCATCAAGTTATATGTCCACAAGTTTGTATGAACCAAAAAGTTTAATAGGAATAACATTCAAAGGCAAAAAAAATATTTATCTTAAGAAGAGTGAATGTAAAACAATATTTCTGTGTATCATTTTATAATCACAAAAAACATTTTGGGTAAAAAACAATTTACCTTCAGGTCGAGCTTTTGGCTTAGCTAGACCAGCATCCATCATTAGTTCAAAAGCAAAAGCAACATTATGTACTTTCTGATCAAAATCTGTTGGTGTCATGTTAAAGGAATAGAGTGGAACAAAGTATTCCTCCAACAATCCCATAAGGAGAGTCAGGTACACCCCATCATGGAACTACAAAAATAATAAAGTTACACATATGACTTACCAATCTTACCTTTTTAAAATAAAATGTATCTTGTAAATGTTAAATAATAAACACCAAGAGTACAACTTACAACTACAAATCAGATTTTTATGTAGCTGATAGATTTACGATAGTAACATTTCACAGGTACACGTATCACAGAAAAATAAAATTAAGAAGGTAATAATGTACATATGAGTTCATACATACATATGTCACATATATATATATATAAATATATAACCACACACACATACATATATATAAATGACCAGATATAAGCATTGTCTGCTGCAAAAAAATAAGATGTAAATGAGAACCAAAAATTTTGTACAAGGGGTTTAAAGCATAACAAATATAGTATGTTTAAAGCAAAACTGAAGCATAATAAGAGTTGATAAATGACTGCTTTATAACACAGATTTAATATTAAGCAACACAAATACAACTTACTTGGTTGTCTAAATCTGTAACATCCAAGTTTATTCTGTTTAGATGTTTGTTGACAAAAGTTACCAGTGACTAGATTTTTAGAAAGAGAAGTCATTATTAATACAGGATTCTTGAAATTCCATTTTCAAAATGTAAATTTTATCTTACAGCTACAGAATTGATAGGAAGTTTCTTGTAATTATTGATTTGTTCAATAATTAATTGTCTTAATATTCATTAAAAATATGTTAACAAAAGATTCATTCTGAAACATTATTTAAACTGTGAAAAGCACACATGTTTTATATATATTTAACAGCAAGCGTGGAAAGAGAAGAAATTACTTTTAATATGATTATAATTAAAGGATGTACTAAATTTAGTGGTGTTAGCTGTGCTGTGATGATGTTTACACATAAAACATTCTGTGGAAGCATAACTTGATCATTGGTTTGAAATAAAAATAAGCGTGGAAAGAGAAGAAATTACTTTTAATATGATTATAATTAAAGGATGTACTAAATTTAGTGGTGTTAGCTGTGCTGTGATGATGTTTACACATAAAACATTCTGTGGAAGCATAACTTGATCATTGGTTTGAAAGAAAAATAATTTATTATCGTACTAAGTCACTTTACTTTAATAGTTCTATGATAAATATGTAGAATTAATTTACTTCAACTCTACTGTGGTGTAAAGCTGGCTAAAACAAATGTTCAAAATTCCAAAGCAATAACAAAGAGATACAATACTGAAATTATCAATATTTATTAAAAATATGCATTAATTTCTTACATTTCAACAAATAGACATTATGTGAAGTTCCCTTATTAATTTTACTGTCTTTCTGAACAAATTGTGGTATTCTCTTTCCTACATAGGATTTATTAATGTATACAAATGCTTACTGGGCCTAACAAATTTGATGAAAATCACATTTGGCTGTAGATGCTTTTATCATATTACTATTATCAGTCCTTTATCTATTTCAAAATAAAGATGTGTAAATACAGTATTTCAGGTCTATCTTGAGTACACTACAAGTCATTGTCCTGCAAGCCTCAGATTTTATCACCTGGACTTGATCTAACTGGTCCCTTTATTTTAGTAAACACAATAAAGAACAATTTGCAATGTTTGTTATTTTCTAGAGATTTGGTTCTCTCTCTATAAAATTTAATAATATTATTTTTTTTGTCATTTTCATAATTACAAATACCAAAGTTTTATGCATTGCTATTTACTGGAAGATGGATAACTACAATGTAGTTTAAAGGGACCTCAAAACTACCAAAATTTTAATTTCCTCCAAGATCTATCTTGGCAATAGAGACTGTAAATTTAACAATATAGTGCAAAATACAGATAGTATTAACAAGCTGATCACAAGGTTATAGTTATTACTCAAATATTTAGTAGCTTATTACCCCAGTGAATAATTTTAGAAAGGATTTTGTTATAGGTTTCCTAATACTAAACCAAAACTTATCAGACATCAGCTAACTCTGTTATAACTCAAACTTTTTAAAACAAAGTTACCTTTTTCACTACTTGCAACTTGTCAGGGGCATGATCGAAAAGTGTGTCAAATGCATCTCTCTCTGTTGAAGAAAAAAAAAAAATCTGAATTACATATCATAGTGTAGAGAGTATACTGCTACAATTAAGTAACAAGTACATTATACTTTGATAATCCCTGTTACAACACCACCACAGTATAGCTTTTGGGAATGATAAAAATTTTTGCACACCATCTTGGATTACACAATTTCAAGTATTAAATAATCAACATGCTCACTCAAAATAGTGACGTTAATTAATCAAGTTTTTCTGCAGCACAAATACCGTAATGTATGAGGTCTTTCTTATTGGTGTTTATCTTGATATTACTTTTAATACTGTTACTAAAAAAATGACATTACCGATATATCAGACAATGACAATCCAATTTATATTACCTTATTATACATGGATATTATAGTATTTATAAATAGTAACTAGATACAAGGTTCTTCCTGAAAATTGGTTTCAAATATCCCAATATAAATAGTCCATACTTTGGTACTATGGGATCATGAGAACATACAATAGAATGGCTGTGTGTCCAACTCATTATATATTTAACTTAAATATTAAACTTTTCACTGAATTATACAAACTACACATTAATTGATGAAAGATATTTTAAACATCACAAAAAACAACTCAAGCAGTACATGGTGACTACTCAGAGGAAATGTATCAAAGTAATATACTGTACTTATCAAGTGATCATGAGAAGAGATATACACTCTGTATGCAGGTATATCAAAAAACACATCTATGCAGTACACAGTGACTTATCAAAGAAATATTTATATGAACTGTTCAGAAAAATACATTTTCAGAGTCTGGTCTTAAGAAAAGGAACAGTGCTTAATAACTATTAAAATGAAAACAACATTTCTCTATAAAATAAAAACCTTGTTAATGATCACATACTTATGTGAAAAAGCTGATTACCGAAAAGAGACTTAATTTCTTTCTTTAAAAAAAATTCAGGTTACAAAGTTTTCTTTCATTGATTTATAACGGAATTTGAAATTAATGAATATATCTAGTTTGAATAAAAACATTGAATAATTCTTATTTTTTAAATCTCTACATGTTCATATGCATAAAGATCAAGACAGACAATCAATCTTCCTGTGTTAAATATTATGATGAAGTTTAACAAGTTGGCATTACACTCTTACAAACTTTTCACAAACCAGAATATTTCTGGTGCTGTTAACACTTCTTATGTGTACTTTTAACAAACAGTGTAGTAGTTTCATTAATTAATAAAATATAAATTTATTCATACTAAGCCAAATAATTAAAGTTTACCTTAGTTTTAACCACAACCTACATATGAATTCTAGCATTGACAACAATGTAGGTTGAGAAAGATTATATATGCTAGTTGGTATAGAATTGCTGAATAGTATTACACTTTAATACTATATCCTTAGTAAAAAACAATCTGATCAAGATTTCTTTATAACGAAAAAATTAAAATGCACTTACCAACCCTCATTCCAAGATCACTGTAATAGAAGAGAAATTTTAGTAGATTTCATGGTGGTCCTCTTATGTGACAGACGTATAAAGTATTTGGAATACTGAAACATTTATTTAAGCCTTATTTGATATATTAGGAAAGTTCAGACATTAACTGTAATGACTAATGTGTGATAGAGGTATAGTAACATATGTATTTTAAATAATATTTTGGTAATTGTACTAATACAAACCAAAAAAAAACTTGTATGTATATACAGAATAATACCTTCGGCTGTGCTCCTATTTATTATGTAAGTAACATAAGGTAAAGTTGTTTAGATGGAACGGTAAAATACACACAGATTGATAGTAAGTATTCTGTTAATCACAATTTCTTTTATCTTAGTGACTTCAACAGTAGTTTTAGAATAAGTTATTAATATAGAATGCTATCAGTATTGTTTTATGAAGACTTGTTTAATATTTCTAAATGGGTCAGTTTATTGTGGAAACAATCACAGTCCTAAACCTTCTGTTAGCCTATTCCCACTGTATCATATTAAAAATAAATTTTGGAAAGAAATAAAGTATAGAGAAACAAAATGAATTATTTTTCGCTTAACTAAGCCAACTTTTATAAATCTTGCCTGCTGATAATTTTCAGTTAACACATTTATGTACCCTACTTCTCACTAGACAAATTACTTTATTGGAAAAAAAATGTTTATTTTTTGCTTAATATAGAAAAAAGAAGTGTAAAGCTGTAAAAGTATATGACATAATAACAAAACTGTAAAAATACAAAGCATATATTACTTAGCAATAATATAGAGAAGGATAGTATGTACCAAGAAGGACAGAACATATTAGTAAGACTGACTGCAGAAGTACAGGGCAAGTACTAACAAAGCCATAGAAATATGTTAGATGCTAACCAAACTGTAAAGATGCATAACATGTATTATCCCTCTGGACACAGATAGGTCAAAGTGTGCATGTCACTACCTTTTTTACTGAATTACATTCAAAATTTAATTAAACTACTTTTATTGTCAATAAACTTTGCATTAAAATGTAGTTAATAATCAAATTTTAATGTTCCACAAGTTTTAATTTCTAATTAGTATTTAGTTTCATGATTACATAGCAGTTGCAAGGTTGGTCAAAATGACCACACCCTTATACTAAAGGATTAATCAGCAAAACAATAAAAAAACAAGACAAAGTC